CTCCCCATCTCTCCCCCCACTTACTAAAAGTCTGAGGGGGCCGGCCGTTTGATGCTGGAGCCGCCGGACCGGGTTGCAGCCTCGCCGGTCCGGCGGCATTCCTCCTACTAACACTGAAGAAGGAGGAGGAGGAGCATGTGTCTGTCATGCTCCTTTGCGGTTCCCACATCCTGTGCTGGGAATTGTGGGAACCGCAGGGAGCATGACAGACACATGCTCCTCCTCCTCCTCCTTCTTCAGCGTTAGTAGGAGGAATGTCGCCGGACCGGCGAGGCTGCCACCCGGTCCGGCAGCTGCAGCATCAAACGGCCGGCTGCCCCCCTCACAGTGTGCCACCGGGCCGGCCACCCGGTGGCACCTGCAGTCCCCAAATGCCGCCCCCAATCCAGCCCTGCCGCCGGGCCCCCTGAAGGCGGCCCTGGCGGCGGGCCCCCCTCCCGGCCGGGCCCTCGGACCGTGTCCGAAGTGCCCGACCGGTCAGTGCGCCCCTGTATATATACACTGAACAAAATTATAAACGCAACACTTTTTTGCCCCCATTTTTCATGAGCTGAACTCAAAGATCTAAGACTTTTTCTATATACACAAAAGGCCTATTTCTCTCAAATATTGTTCACAAATCTGTCTAAATCTGTGTTAGTGAGCACTTCTCCTTTGTCGAGATAATCCATCCATCTCACAGGTGTGGCATATCAAGATGCTGATTAGACAACATGATTATTGCACAGGTGTGACTTAGGCTGGCCACAATAAAGGCCACTCTAAAATGTGCAATTTTACTGTATTAGCAGTGGGGGCAGAAAGCAGTCAGTATCTGGTGCCTCACGCAGTGTACCCCATCTCCTTGACATAGAGTTGATCATGTTGTTAATTAGAGTAAGGGAGACCCCTGAAACAGGGGGATCCCAAGAGAAGTAGCTCTGGTACAGAAAAAAAGGAAAATTAGTATTTAGAAGTAAATGGAATAATAAAAGAGAGGGAGAAAGGAAAGGAAGGATGCCATATAATAATGGGCAAAAGGGATGAAAGGGGTAGAGAAACAAAATCAGAGACAAGGTAACCCCTATTCCACCCTAAACCACCCACAGCTTGCAAAAGCAGGCAATACTTGAGACTAACCAATCCAAAGAGAGAGAAAAAAATAAAATCCCCCCCCTTCTCTCACAAGCAGGCTCAAATCTTGTGGGCAGTAGGGTCCTAATGAAAACCCTTACATATAAAGCCCAAAAAAGGAGCTGAAAAGGGCCTGCCTGAAAAACCAAAATAACTAAAATACTAACTAACTCATAGAATCATACTAACTACCTATGTGCTACCCAAAAAAGTGAAAATAAATAAATAAAAAGAAAAACGCTCGACGCGCGTTTCGGCGTGAATACACGCCGTCGTCAGGAGCAAGTTCACATGTTAGAGCAGTTCCATCGGTTAAATACCTGTATTAATCAGGGGGAAAGTCCTTCAGGTGATCCGGCGTGTAGAGGGGGCGTGGATGAACAGCGTAGGAACAGTGCGTCCCTCCAGCCTTCACTCAACCACAAGAAGAATGCCATTGGGTAGAGGGGGGATCAATCAAGCATAGTCCACACCCACCTTACCATGACTCACGTCATTGGACGGTGGGAGGATCAATCCAGCCTTATTCCCGCCCACCCTATCCCGGCAAACACCATAGGGCGATAAAGAGATCAGTCAATCCTGATCCACGCCCACATTGCCGGTTAAGGTTAGTGCGGCGAAAAAGGGCTGTGTAATTGATTAGAGACGCCCCTTTTTTTTGGAGGATAATGATTTCCCCTCACGATCGGCGCCAGGACACATAGGGAGAGGGAAACATCCATTAAAGCTCAGCTCAGTCTCAGAATAGGGTGCTGTAAGCAATCCAAAACTGTGACAAAAACTGAGATGAGATGTCATAAATCTCATTGTGTCAAAATAGCTTCATATTAGTTGTGATTATAGAATATCCCTCTTTACAACAGTACAAGGTCCAGACATATTAAAAATCATGTCCTATATGGACAAATATGGGATCAAAGACCGAGCTGTGTGCAGAAGTTGAATATATAAGTCAACACCATAATACAAAAGGAGATATCTTCGATCCCATCAGATCCCAAGTGAACGACTGTGATGAGGATAATAACAAAGTATTTAAACCCATCACATCACGTATGGATCAACAGAGGACCCGATTTGAACCATGAAGTGGCTGGAGGAGGTAATAATTATAATCTAACGATGGCAATAAGGACTAGCCCTCAAATCAGGTCAGAAGCGATAGAATGTGGTGCAATATATGCAAAAAGTGAAAAATAAAAATAAAAAAACTTTATTTACAAATGTATACAGATAGCTATTAAAATAAGGTAAGGTAAGTATAGAGAATAGAGTAGCTCCATTTTCTGTAGATGGAAAAACCTATATGTCTATAGAAATGACGTAAACGAAAAACCTTCGTTTAGTCCCTGAGGTGAAAGAGTTTTTAACTTATAAATCCAGTAGGATTCTCTCTGTTTGAGCTTACGATCCCAGTCCCCTTTCACTTGGGATCTGATAGGATCGAAGATATCTCCTTTTGTATTATGGTGTTGACTTATATATTCAACTTCTGCACACAGCTCGGTCTTTGATCCCATATTTGTCCATATAGGACATGATTTTTAATATGTCTGGACCTTGTACTGTTGTAAAGAGGGATATTCTATAATCACAACTAATATGAAGCTATTTTGACACAATGAGATTTATGACATCTCATCTCAGTTTTTGTCACAGTTTTGGATTGCTTACAGCACCCTATTCTGAGACTGAGCTGAGCTTTAATGGATGTTTCCCTCTCCCTATGTGTCCTGGCGCTGATCGTGAGGGGTAATCATTATCCTCCAAAAAAAAGGGGCGTCTCTAATCAATTACACAGCCCTTTTTCGCCGCACTAACCTTAACCGGCAATGTGGGCGTGGATCAGGATTGACTGATCTCTTTATCGCCCTATGGTGTTTGCCGGGATAGGGTGGGCGGGAATAAGGCTGGATTGATCCTCCCACCGTCCAATGACGTGAGTCATGGTAAGGTGGGTGTGGACTATGCTTGATTGATCCCCCCTCTACCCAATGGCATTCTTCTTGTGGTTGAGTGAAGGCTGGAGGGACGCGCTGTTCCTACGCTGTTCATCCACGCCCCCTCTACACGCCGGATCACCTGAAGGACTTTCCCCCTGATTAATACAGGTATTTAACCGATGGAACTGCTCTAACATGTGAACTTGCTCCTGACGACGGCGTGTATTCACGCCGAAACGCGCGTCGAGCGTTTTTCTTTTTATTTATTTATTTTCACTTTTTTGGGTAGCACATAGGTAGTTAGTATGATTCTATGAGTTAGTTAGTATTTTAGTTATTTTGGTTTTTCAGGCAGGCCCTTTTCAGCTCCTTTTTTGGGCTTTATATGTAAGGGTTTTCATTAGGACCCTACTGCCCACAAGATTTGAGCCTGCTTGTGAGAGAAAGGGGGGGGATTTTTTTCTCTCTCTTTGGATTGGTTAGTCTCAAGTATTGCCTGCTTTTGCAAGCTGTGGGTGGTTTAGGGTGGAGTAGGGGTTACCCTGTCTCTGATTTTGTTTCTCTACCCCTTTCATCCCTTTTGCCCATTATTATATGGCATCCTTCCTTTCCTTTCTCCCTCTCTTTTATTATTCCATTTACTTCTAAATACTAATTTTCCTTTTTTTCTGTACCAGAGCTACTTCTCTTGGGATCCCCCTGTTTCAGGGGTCTCCCTTACTCTAATTCATTTCATTTTGGGTTACCCCCTATTCTGTAGCTCTGAAGTAGGCTATCAGGATAGACCACACAGCCTTGCAATCACTTGCAACACTGTGGTGGGATCCTGTATTTCTTACTCTCTTTATATAATTTTGATCATGTTGTTGATTGTGGCCTGTGGAATGTTGCTTGAGGGGGAGGGTTTAGCAAGTTGTGGGGGTGGGGCTCAAATTGCAGCGGGGACAGAGCTAAATGCGCTCAGAAGCTGATGCCTGGTAACTGCTGCACAGGAAGAGGAAAGCAGGAATGCTTCCCCAAAAATGAGACACCAGGAACTGCAGTGCCTCCACTCCTCCCTTGCAATCCATAATTGAAAGAGGTAACTGTCTGCCGGTAACTAAGTATTGGTCTGTAACTGTGTGTGTGTGTGTGTGTGACTGTCTGCCTGTGTGTGTGTGTGACTGCCTGTGTGTGTGACTGTAACTGTGTGTTACAAAAATGAAAATAGGAGCCACGCTCAATCCCAGCAAACACCAGGTGCACTGCAGCAGGACCAGCAATCCCAAAACGATCAGACAGAGAAAACGAAAATCTCCAGGCACTCAAGGTGTTCAAGCTACAGGCAGATTTAATGGTAAAAGTTTGACAAAGACCTCTTAGCAGGTCTTTTTATGTACCATTAAATTTGCTTGCTGCTTGAACATTTTGAGTGCCTGGAGATTTTCTTTTTGTAACTGTGTATCTGTGTCTGCCTGTGTATGTGACTGTAACTGTGTGTGACTGTCTGCCAGTGTGTGTGTGTGTGACTGTCTACATGTAACTCTGTCTGCCTATACCTGCATGTGAATGTCTGCCTGTAACTGTATGTGTGACTGTCTGCCTGTAACTGAGTGTGTGTGTGTGTGTGTGTGACTGTCTGCCTGTGTGTGTATGTGTGACTGTCTGCCTGTATATGTGTCTGTGACTGTCTACCTGTAACTGAGTGTGTGTGTGTGACTGTCTACCTGTGTGTGTGACTGTCTGCCTATGTGTGTGACTGTCTGCCTGTAACTCTGTGTGTGACTGTCTGCCTGTAACTGATTGTGTGTGCATCATTGTCTGTCTGTATCTGTGTCTGTGACTGTCTGTCTTTAACTGTGTGTGTGTGTGTGTGTGTGTGTGTGAGAAAGAGAGACTGCCTGTAACTGTGTGTGTAACTGTCTGCCTGTAACTGAGTGTGTGTATCATTGTCTGACTGTATCTGTGTATATGACTGTCTGCCTTTAACTGTGTGTGTGTGACTGTCTGCCTATGTGTGTGTTATTGTGTGTGTGTGTGTGTCATGGCTGTGTGTGACTGTCTGCCAGTATCTCTGTGTGTGACTGTCTGCCTGTAACTGAGTGTGTGTATCATTGTCTGCCTGTATCTGTGTCTGTGACTGTCTACCTTTAACTGTGTGTGTTTGTGTGTGTGTGACTGTCTGCCAATGTGTGTGTTTGTGTGTGTGTGACTGTCTGCCTGTAACTCTGTGTGTGACTGTCTGACTGTAATCATATGTTTGACTGTATACCTGTAACTGTGTGTGACTGTGTTCACATGTGGCCCTATCTGTATATAAATACCCATCACACACAGCCAATAAACCCAACCACACACAGACAATACACACATTTATCACACACAGTCAACACATCCATTACAAATATCACACACAGCCAACATATAGCATGCATATCACACACAGCCATCACAAGTATCACAAACAGGCAACACACACATTGCATCACATTATTATGAGATTTATTAGCTCTGTCATACAAAATGCACATTACTCTGTGTTTTATTAGTTGGGGAGCTCTGTGATACACTAATAGGCACATGCTCATGTATTGCACATTACTGTGAGCTTTGTGGAGCTCTGTGATAAACTGATACACACCACATAGTACTGTGAGGGCTTTTTGTTGCTGTGGAGCTCAGTGATAAATGGATAAACAGTGCATTATTATGTGGTCAAGAGGTCAAGGTAACTAAGGAAAATTCACAGCTCCAAAGCAAAACAACTCTCAGTATTATGTAATGCTGAGGATGCAGTATGGCACCTCTGGCCTGCACTTCCATAAAAAGCGGTCTTCCATTGCTGTGGGTTACCACAGGAAAACTCTGACATGAAAGTGCCTGAGTTCATGAGACAGTTACTCATGGTCTGCACCCGTCAGAGGTGCAGACCAGATTCCCAGCACACTGGACCACCAGGGATCAGCATGCCACCCCACAAAGTAACAGCAGAGAAGGTAGAATGAATATTTGTTTTTAAATAATTATTAATTTAATAAATCCCCTATACAAAATTACACCCCTATACACAGACACTAGGCATGGATGAAGCGGTATGACTGGAGAGGGGTTGTGGACTGTCAAGATTTTATGCACAGGGCACCCTAATGGCCTACAGCCGGCCATGCCAAAAATAATCACTTAGAAGTCTCCCTATACAGGGATGGCATTTCACTGTACCTGGGGTGAGTTTTTCTAGTACTGACCAATTCTTGGCACCACAGAGGGTGTTGCTGGTTGACCTGTACTGAGCCATTGCATAACTAGTACATGGGAAACTCTTTAAGTGTCCTGCATCAATGCAAAAGAAACAGGGATACTCATGTAAACGTGAAGCATTGGGAATTCAAAGTGAATTTTAAATTGTAGTCCGAAATAGCCAAACTGGAAAAAAATCCAGCCAAAAATCTGAAACGCACATAAAATTACTTGCAATTCACACATGTGAATAACCCACATAGATATGATTTACCTGTCTGATTGCTGACAGTTGTACAGAACATTCCCTGAAATTACTCTGGAATTAAAGCAACGACAAGGGTCATTCACTAAACATTAGTTGGTAATTAGGGTTGTCAAGATTCATGTTTTTTTTTAACCGGCTGCATATAGGTATCCCAAGGTTATTAACATTATTATTATTATTATTATGTTATTTATATAGCGCCATCGAATTCCTCAGCGCTTTACAATGGGTGGACGAACAGACATGTAGTTGTAACCAGACAAGTTGGACACACAGGAACAGAGGGGTTGGCAAAAAAGGTAAGGATAGTATTAGACTAGTGACAGTTGCAGAAGAGTGTCAAGTGTCAAGTTCTGCCCAGTAGTATATAGAATTCATCTGCTTACAGAAAGATATCAGTGAATTAAGCTCAGGGATTCACAAGACATTAGACGAGCGCAAAAGTATTTCAGCTGTTACCAACAAATCAATTCCTTTTCATCTGCGCCCACACAAATCAATTCATTTAGCATTTACCTGTGAGGTGTTGTTCATTGATTCGTTTGGGGATAGTGTAAAAGGAGTTTGATTCGTTCGTACAAGCGGAAACACATTTGTGCACAAGTCTACATTTGTTTATTGATTGATTGATTTCCTTCCGTAGTTTTACCGTATGAAATGTGCACTTGACATTTCATTGGGGCAGTCATCTATAGTCAGTAACCCTGGTTGAGGTAAGTTGACTATAAGCCAAATGGATATTACTTTTTTTATTCCTAAATTTAGCTGTCAACTAAATTTTGCTAACAAAAGATCACTGTTTAAAGCGGCACTGTCATGCTGAATCCAGTTTTTTTTTTTTTTAACCACCCTACGGCCTCCACTACATCTAACTGACCCCCTAGTCACCCCCAAATGCCCCTAAGCCCCCATATTACCTATTTTGTAATCTTTATTTTCTGCCCCGATCTATATTCAGGGCGCCGCCATCTTTGTGTGGGTAGATGAAGTCCCTGTGGGACACGTCATCAGCCCACACTAGATAGACTGTGAGATTCCCGCACATGCCCAGTGAAACACCTGGACATGCAAACGGGAATTTCATCTATTCATTCATTCATCAGACAGACGAATGAATGAATAGAAATATCAGACGAACAAACAAACTCTATGTATCAGTGTATCAGTGTTTGTTTGTTAGTTCAGTTTACTACAAGGAGGGAGCTACCGGCACGCAGCTCCCTCCTTGTAATATGTAAAGATAGAAGCGGCAGGGAGCAGTTCTCCCCACCACTTCCTAAGCCCCCCCCTCACTCTATGGGGGTCAATATGACCCCCATAATAGCACAAGGGAGATTAAAATCTCCCCA